AAAAAAAAAAAAAAAAACAAATTTCATATATGTTCGGTGTAACATTATACACATCAATTATCCCACAAAAATAAAATTAAAACCTACGCAAACCAAGACTCTTCACATGAGTTTGGAAAGCATCTTTGCGTATAGGCTTAGTTAAAGGATCAGCTATCATTTTATTTGTGGGTATATACTTAATGACAAGTTCTTTATATTTTATTGCGTCTCGTACAAAATGATAACGCCTTTTGATATGCTTGGTTTTTCTGTGAAACTTCGGATCCATACTGGATAGCAGCAGTATTATCACAATGCATTTCTACAGGTTCATCAACCTTTGGGTGAGGTTGAGATCCTGTAGAAAGTTCCTCAACCATATTGCCTCTTGAACGGCAACACTTCTGGAAACATACTCAGCTTCCATAGTCGAAAGGGCTATGCAATCTTGTTTTTTACTGCACCAGGATATTGCACCTCCACCGAATATAAAGGCATATCCTGAAGTTGACTTTTACTCATCCAGATCGCCACCCCAATCAGCATCCGAGTATCCTTTTAATTTCAAGGACCCACCTTGATAGAAAAGTACTAAATCACTTGTACCACGCAGGTACCGCAAGATTCTCTTGACAGCTTGCCAATGTGCAACCCTGGGTTGCTTTGGTAACGACTTACCAAGCCAACCGCGAAGCAGATGTCTGGTCGTGTACATAACATAACATACATCAAGCTTCCTACTGCACTACCATATGGAACATTGCTCATTTTATGTTTTTCTTCATCTGTTTTCGAACATTGGTCAAGACTTAAGGTTAAACCCTTTTCAACTGGGGTATCAACGGGTTTGGAATAATGCATTCGAAAACGTTCTATGATTCTTTTAATATATGTTTCTTGAGACAAACCAAGAAGTTTCTTAGAACGATTTCGCATTATTTCCACTCCTTGGACATACCTAGCTTCACCCATGTCCTTCATTTCAAAGTTAGAGGACAACCACTACTTAGTGTCATTGATCATTCTCATATCGTTTCCAGCCAACAATATGTCATCGACGTATAAAGAAAGAAACAAAATTCCTTCTTCACTTTTCTTGACATATACACAATGATCCTCATCAACCATGGTCAAACCAAATGCACAAATGGCTTCATGGAATTTGAGATACCATCGCCTGGAAGACTGTTTGAGACCATATATGGATCTTTTGAGGCGACAAAATTTATTGTCTTGCCCTTTTGGGACATACCCAATAGGTTGATATATCTCTTCCTCAAGATAACCATTAAGGAAAGCTGTTTTTACGTCCATTTGAAATAATTCTAAATCCAAATGGGCAACCAGGGCCAAAAGAAGACGAATGGAGGCAAATCTCACCATAGGAGAAAATGTCTCATCGTAATCTATACCTTCAATTTGGGTAAAACCTTTCGCTACTAAACGAGCTTTGAACTTTTCTATCGATCCGTCCACCCCACGCTTGATTTTGAATATCCACTTACATCCAATTGATCGACGGTGAGGTGGAAGGTCATTAAGTTCTCAAACATTATTTTTAATCATTGAGTCCATCTCATCATTCATTGCATCTTTCCATTCTGAATGGTATGGTGAATTCATTGCCTCTTTATAAGAGTTCGGTTCATCTACTTCTAAAGGGGTACAAAGAAATACATCCTCCTCAATTTGAAAAAATCGACGAGGAATTCTTCCACGATCACTCCTTCTCAAAGTAGGACCTTCATTATTTTCCAAACTAGTAGAAAAAATTCTCCCACTGTCCTCGAGAGGCATGGGACTATGAGCTCGATGACTTATCTCGTGCTCTTCTCTATGAGGCTCATCCTCATTTTGAGTTTGTTTTTCACTAGTGGAATTTAGAAGAACTTCATTATCTTTGGAGACCTGTTGAGGTAACACATCCCCCTCATCTCTTAAAGATACTTGTATTTCACTAATGGAATTTAGAAGAACTTCATTATCTTTGGAGACCTGTTGAGGTAACATATCCCCCTCATCTCCTAAAGATAATTGCATTGCTTGTTGTAACTCATACAATTGAAGGTCTCTCTTAATTTCACCAATACTTGGGAACTCATCCTCAAGAAAATCGACATTGCGTGAGTCTATCTCAGTCATTCCACCATCTGGATGTTCACCAAACATAACATACCCTTTTGAATGTTCAGGGTATCTAATGAACACCATTTTGGTAGCTCTTGGACCAAGCTTTCCATACTTGTGAGTTTGGTTATGCACATAGCCAGCCGAACCCCAAGGGCGCAAATGGTCCAAAATGGGTGATTTCCCATTCCACAACTCATGGAGTGAGCGACACACTTTTACTTGGTACACGATTAAGGATGTATGTTTCCGTAAGCAACGCATCTCCCCAAAATTTAATAGGGAGATTGGCTTGCGCCATCATCGACCTAACAATGTCCAGTAATGTACGATTTCTTCTTTCAGCAACACCATTTTGTTGCGGAGTATAAGGAACCGTAATTTGCCTTGAAATACCTTTAGTCTCACAAAACTCTTTGAACATATCAGAGAGGTATTCACGTCCCCGATCAGTACGAAGAGTCTTAATTCTTCGTTTCTTTTGGTTTTCAACTTCGGCCACAAAACGTTTGAACGTATCAAGTGCTTCGTGTCGATGAGATAATATGTAACATACCCAAAACGTGAATAATCATCTATAAAGGTAATAAAATATGTAGCCCCATGACGAGCTTTTATATTTAAAGGCCCACAAATATCAAAATGAATCATCTCTAAAGGATTTGATGCTCTTCATGCCTTACCAAAAGGCTTTTTAGTAGCTTTTCCAGCTAGACAAGATTCACATTTAGGCAATTTAACCTTAGTTAATTGTCCCAAATGTCCTTCTTTAGCTAGTCTTGACATTCTATCTTGACCAATATGACCAAGTCGTGCATGCCATTTAATTGATTCAGAATCAACATTATAAAATGAAGCAAAAACATGTGATGAGTCATTATAACTTTCATCTAAGTCAAAAACAAAGAAAGCATTCTTTAAAATATCATGTCCGAATAAATTGTCATGATACAAAATGTCCAAACCGCTAGTATTGAAGTTAAAGGAAAAACCAAGTTTTAACAAGGAAACAACTGAAAGTAAACAACTTCGCACCCTAGGTGCATAGAGAGTATCATGCAGGAGTAGTGTACTTCCACCCTGGAGTTTAAGTTGGTATGTTCCAACCCCAAGGACATCTTCCTCGCTCCCATTTCCTAACATGACAGTTTGAGTGCCAATAGGAAACCGCTGGAACTCCACAAATCCAGATCTTTCATGAACTATGTGCTTGCTTGCTCCCGTATCTATAATCCAATTAGGAATAGAATTAACAACTAATGCATGAGAACAAACAAATAGTTCAAAAGAGTTAGTGGTAGAAGGTACCTTTTTCGGCTCAGCACAATCACGAGCGAAATGACCTTTCTGTCCACAATTATAGCACTTCACACGCGCTATTTTCTTCTTCCTTTGGCCATGTGCCATAAGTTGTTTCTTCGAACCACCATTTGATCCAGAAGTTTGAGAATGACGAGAAAATTTCTTGGCTCGTTTGCGTTTATTTCCCTTGGCTTGGCCGCCATGGGCAACAAATGCAACATTGGAAGGTGCTAACGTTCTTTGACGTTGTACTTCCATTTCAATATGTTTAGCGAGTTCTGATAAAGTTTTTACATTCTCGCTATGAGCCATGATGAGCTTGAAGTTCTTCCAATTCTCAGAATCATTTGGAAGTGAACGAACCACATTTAGAACTTGCTCCTCGTCAGATACATCTCGTCCCGCAGCTTTGAGGTCACGTATCATGACACCCATGACACACAAATGTTCGACAACAGAGTGTTTAGGATCCATATTGTAATCCATCCACTTTAAATTCAAGGCACGAAGCCTAGTAGCCGAAGTTTGCCCAAAGGTGACCTTAAGCTTGTCCCACATGTCTTTAGTCGTGGGAGAATTCTCAAACTCTCCAATAAGATCATTATGCATGCAATACAACATAGTATAGCGTGCAGAACGATCCTTTTTGGACCACGTCTGATAGGTTGTCAATTCTTCCTTGTACTGCGCACTAGCAGTATCCTTTAGCTCAATCACAGTAGTGGACAAGGTTTCCAAAACCTCGCGTTCATTAATAAGATACTGAAACTTCCTATGCCAGATGTTGTAATTGGTACCATCTAGCTTTTCGTTGGAGGACAAATCTCCAATTATAGATTTAGTTGTCATCTTTATGTATATAAAATGGATTTTAGGCATGAGGTCAATATAATTAAATTATTATTTTTATTTTTGTTTATGCCATGAGTTCGAAAATTTCGCCAAGCTCATAATCATCACAAATAACACAAACAAAAATAAATATAATTTAATTAACCTTATTTTAATGAAACATATTCATTTATTCATGTTATTGTTTAACAAATAAACATAAATATAAACATCACAAAGATATTTAAGTCTCATAACATGAATAACATGTATTCATGTATCATATTAAATAAATATAAACATTACAAAGATATTTACGTATGAATAACATATATTCATGTATGATATTAAATGATTATTTAAATATCACTTAGATAATTTAAATAATAATAAGAAGCCGCACGATATTACTAAAATATTGATTTATTCTTCTCATCATAATAACAAACATTATGACAATTTCAAAATGATCTTTATTTTTAATGATAAATAAGAATACCATATAAATATTTGAAAACCATAATAATAACAAATATTATTATTAAACAAGGAATAATAATAATGATTTTTATTCTTTGTTTATATAATAATTAGGCCTCAAAACCTAATTATTCCCCCATATTAATTTTTTTATATCATTTTCATGATACAAATTCATGAATGACACTCATTCTATATTTAACACTTAGTTAATCAATAGAATGATTTTTATGTAACAAATACATAAATACATTCGTTTATAAAAAAAATACATCGGAGGAATAAACGGGCTCTGATACCACTGTTAGTGGTTTTATATAACACATATATAAATATATATAGGACTAACTTTTATGTAGCGGAAGCGAAAACTTGCCCGTATCTTTTATCCGACAGCTACTAGAGTCGTCGGTATCCTCCACGTTCTAAAACCCAAGCCGCCTTGATGGTTTCGACTCAACAAGAGAAAAGCACTTTATAAATAAAGATTATGTATATCTCTCTAACTATATTCTTGTCTCGTATTGTTTTGTTTTCATGATGCACAAAGCATCATATTTATACTTGTCTTCATGGAACTCAATCAAATGAAGACTTTAAGCACACTTCTCATAACTCCATACTTAATGGAGATGAGGTT